ACTGTGGATATGATGCAGAGTGTAAGGTCTGTCTCTTATACACATCTAGATGTGTATAAGAGACAGATATTATATTATGTGAAATTTTAGCCTTTTTGATCTCTCTAATAACTTTGTTTTTAAGTTCATTCCATTTAGCTTTGTGCCCTTTGGCAAACGCTTTCTGTCTTTGGTTGATTAAACTCTTTATACGGTCTGACATCCATGGTTTGTCCGTTGAATGTAATTTAATATTTTTAGTTGGAAAAAACTTATTCACACCAAAAATGATAGTTTGATAGAAAGCGTCAGCCTTGGATTGAACGTCAGTAGCATCATAGACATTGGCCCAAGTCTGCTTTTGAATCCACTTCCCATATTCTCTTAAATTAGAATCCCTAAATTGCTGAACAGTTTTGATTTTTATAGTATCATCATATCATATCCACAGTTGTCAAGTTTACTCTAAAGCCGCACTCAATCTTGGTATACACGCTCTGCTAGCTTTTGTGGTCTATTAGCACACGAGCAAACAACTTTCCCGAAATGCTGAGAAGAGAGATGTAATTATCGCGTTTGTCTTTGTATAGAACTTGATGATATTAGTTCCTTTCATGTTTTGAGGTGCAGCTTCTTTCTCCTCCTAACGCTGACAGAATACAGGGGTCGCAGAAGGGAGTCTTTGCATTTCAAGGGCATATGGTGCAGAGTGTAAGGTTTTGGACTTCTGATTGTGAGATCGGGTGTTCGAGACCGATGCGTTTCCTTGCTTGTGTTTTTGGACAAGGTACTTCTCACGTTTGCCTCTCTCCACCCAGGAGTATAAATTTGTATCTGGTAGGATGGTATGACATTGAACGTATGCAGTTGTGCGTGCAAAGCAGCTTGACTACTTCCCAGGGAGCAGATAAGGTTGCACAAAAATGTGCTGGTTTGCCAACTAAGTACCCAGTTACCATGGAAATACTGATGCAGCGGCTTGGTATATTCTCCGGAATGTGAAAGGTGCCATATAAATTCGGATTCTAAAAGAAAAAGTGGAATCCCATCATTTCCATGGGAGCTTTTCAACTAGCAAAGCTGTCAATTGCTTTGCTAAGTTCCTCTACAGTTGGCTCTACAACAAGTACAACGTCAATTGCTAAACTAAGAACGCTATTTCCAACTGAATAGAGCTCTCAGAATGATGATCTGCCCATTCCTCAGGTTGTTTCCTTTTGCCGGTTATAGGCGCACCGTTTTTGGACCAAGGCTTTCTTAATCCCAGCGTACATTCCTTTGATGTTGCCTGTGACTAATTTCGAGTTGGTTGCGCAATGTGTAGCAGTCCTCTGTACTTTGTTTCTGGCATCTCTGAGAGCTCGAATGATGTTTCAGTTTCAGTTTAT